CCCCGTTGTTCTCTGTTTGTCTTGCTCCTCACACCCGCTCCGAGTTTCCTATATACCACACCTGTCCTTTGTTTGTCATTAGCTCTGTCTGTATAAACACTCCAGATTTCACTCTTGTTATGTTCCAGGTCTTCCTCTTGGGTAATTGTGTGGGCTATGTGTTTTTAATTTGACAACCTTTGCTTGGATTCCTGATGTTTATGCTTAGTGTATCTTTCAGTGTGTGTTTGGGCCATGCTATGCATTTATGTTCTCTGTTTTTGTGTCTCAGGGGCCATAATATAAATATGGTTTTGATATGAAACATCTGTGAGGTCTCTGTTCTTCTTTACTACTACAGTGAATTATCCTTAAGTAGTTTGGACTGCTTTTACATTTTTCTTTTCATCAAATCATGCCAATGAAACTTCTTTTTATCCACCCCAAGACTGAGAAACCACTTATATATATTACATTTTGAAACTGTTCAGTTGTGACTGGTGATGGCAAGTGTGTCCAGTGGCCTAATTTCCTTTCCCAACTTTTGCAGTGAGCTATTCATTTAGTTCAACAGGGATTTCATGACTAAATCCAGTTTAAGCAAGTCAGTTTAGTCTCGCAGAATATCTTGTGCATTAATTTGATGGCATTTAAACCAGCATTGAATGAAATGAACCATTAGACTACTCAGGGCTGATATATGATGATAGCATTTCACTTCAGGTTAGGTGCATAACCAAATATTTTGAACAAAAAGTAATTTAATGGTGTTGTCTTTGCTTTGCTTTTCTCCCAGCATCTCGCTGTCATTTTCCCTTTCCTCTTCCTGTTTTCTGCTTTTATTCATCAGTGCTTTAGGATTCATGATGGTTTCCCCAGTTGTGTAAAAAAAGTTTCCATCTAGTCTCCAATTCCAGCTCTCTTCCTCCCAACTGTCATGGTGCACGTATTCCTTTACAGACAATTTCATCTCCCACAGTCCTTACAGGGAATAACAGAAGAAATAACACAAATTCCCAGGAGATTGGCGTGATGCATTTATGCCTCACATCAGAATATCTGCCACCTCTGTTGTTTTGTTATTGGATTTCCTCTCTTTCTCCACCATATGATCCCAAATCCACATTTCACGACAAAGCACAACTCCATGGATGAATAGAAAAAGACCCATTAATGTCCTCTGACTGAATTTACCACCATTTCTCAAGTAATGCAAACACCACAACCACAAACAACTTTTAGTTTGATTAGTCTTTTTGCCGTTTTGTCCTCTCTGTGTTGATCCCCTTTTATCCCTGCTGTATGTGTAGACTGCTCTCTGTCTTGGCTTTGGGATCGTGAAAATCTGTGTGTGTACATCACTTTCTCACTGTGGAGACGGTGGGCAGCTGTGGCTGTCTGGAGTGTTTGTACTATAGAAAATCATTGCTTGCTTGTGTACGCACCACGAAAACACTTTGTCATAAAATTCCTCATTAGGATGCTGATTGACCTGTGCAGCTACTGATGTACACCCATAAAGATGTTTTAAGCTTTGGGTTTGTTTAAAGTGCATTGCAATAGATTATGTAATGGAATTTGTTTCCCCTGTCTTGTGGGGCTTTTTATATCTGAGAGCAACTTTCTTAGTTTTGCTAGTGGTGTCCTCACAGTGTAACCACCACTTTTTCTGTCATTTCCTGGTTTTGGCATTTGGATTGCTTTACATCTTAGATAATAGATCACTGACACAATCGCATGCCCTGTGTAATGACGCCTTCATTACACTCTGAAAGTTGTGATTTCGCATGTGTAGTGCTGGAGCAACCCAGTTGTGTTGAGTATGAAAGGGATGATCTTTTTATTTAATCCCAAAATATTGAATGCAAGTATGTTTGATCATCACATTTCATCACTTTTTGTATTTGTTTTGTTTTGGCAGATTTCTCTTTGCATAAACATATTCTTGATTGAATATGTGATAATCCCACACCAGGTTGCTGTGTTTTCCACCTCGCCCTGGTAACGCCGATGCTGTTTGCAATGTCAAAGACTGTTGGGTAAACGTTTGAATTTAAAAGAGACAGAGTGATACAAACACACCATGTATGGCAAAACTTATCTTTTAAATGTGCTTAAAACAGAGCAGAAAAGAGATGAAAAATAAACAAGTGTAATAGATATATAAGTACATATATTTATATATTTTACTGCAAAGGGTTTCTATGAAAACAAGGAATATCCTCTTAGCTCAGTGCTTATTATTCATAACTCAAGAAGTTTATGTTGAATCCAAACTGCCAAATAGAATGAGCTCATTAACTTAGTTAGGTGTCTGTTTATGTAATGGGAGGAAAATTCTCCAAGTGTATTCAGCAAAATGTAAATATGTCATGTCAAAAGCTGGAGTTCTTGTTACGCATATGGATGAAGTGAAGTACTCTACTGCCCCCCCAGACAAAGAGGAGCTAATGCAAACAAACTAACTTGTTCTTCTTTCACTCTCTCATGTGATTTACGTGTCTGGGCAGCAACCATTGTGGCTTTTGTCTTCCCATGGGAACAGAACATTGAGTCCTTCTTACCTGCGCTGAGCATCCAATGTAATTACCCCCTCAATGAGACAATCACTTTTAATACTCCCTGACATATAAGTCACACACGGGCTTCACAGTCCGCCAATGGCTTTTGTTATCACCTCCTAATTGATGCTCCAGAGGGATTCTTTGTGAGCTGCACTTAGGCCGTGTGTCTGCCTGTGGATGCATGAGTGAGACATAGTGATGCAGTTAAAGACACCACAACATGCAGGGGCACTATTTGCACTGAGTGGCATGTTTTTATTTTACATGTGTTCGTCTGCCAAATGTTTTCAGAACTGAAAAAATCTTACAAAATCTACTGACATTGGTCCAACACATGAATTTTTCACCTTAACACAATCACTGACATGATGAGCGATAAACTCAAGGAATATAAACAATTACATGAACTCAGCATAGTTTAACTGCCATGACCCCTCATTTAGATTAAATGTCAGTATGCAAAGAACGTCTTTCCACTCAAATTTAAAATATAAGAGTAGTCACCATGCAGACATTCTGACATATGACTGACTCACACTATATTGCCGGAAAAGTGAAGCTTTATTAAACCTTGTCTCACAATGGAACATGACGAACATGGCTTCCAATGTCACAGTTCTCTCAAGGTATCAAGCAGATCCTCCCCTCCAGGACTGCGTCAAGTTGACGACACATCAGAGAACTTATAAAAGAACATTTCAAATGACGCACCGCGTCACACTCACACAAAGCTCCGAAGAAACTTTGTAACTGGTGAGTATAAACCTTAACCTCTGAAAATGTTGCATAAATCAATTATTTGTAAACTGGCTTTCTATAACATCTTGTTTTTTAAATCAAACTAAGTATTTTGATAATTACATATGTTGAAGAAGGACTGTAACCATTTAATTCCAGTAAATCAGTTTGATATCTCAGTGTATTTACTTGAAACTGTTCATATCTTTAGGATTAGCATGGTACAGCATGATTTGAAACTTTACTTTTGGCTCATCCATATTCAGCTTTGTTGTCTTAGAAGGGTTTGGTTCCAAAAGTGAAGATCTGTGTGGTCATCATTCCCATTCGACAAAAGCTGCAAATTAAACGGCAGTGAATTTATAGAATGCAAATGAAGCAAGAGGTTATACAAAACACGTATGGCAGGAGAGGTAAATGCATGAAATATTCTTTAAAATCATCACCAGGTTTGCAGACTTTATAGTTATTGATAAACATATGGAACAATAAACTAAAAAAAGAAAGAACGAAATGTTCAGTTTCAGTACTTCGTGGAACAACTTTTCATATATTTCATCAACGTACAAAGAGATTATCAAATACATAGATAACATTATTAAAAAGATTTAATCCAACAATCACCTGAATGCTACAACATGCTCAGGGCTTATTTAACTCTTCGATATACTGTTTTTGTTCTTTTTTGTCATTGTCTCCAGGAGAGATCACCTTTGTTGAAGAGCGTCATTCCTACGTCTGTCCAATTAATCTCAGAGGAGCGTGTGCAGCCTGAGGTGGAGCAGGGAGCTCAGGGAAGTGAGATCCACCATTCGCTGAGGGACCACGGCTAAGAGAGGTCCACCTTAACCTAGAGCCCTCCACTCAATGGTGAGGCACAATCACAGCTTCTGGCCTCAAGTCCACCACTGGAGACAATCCAGGTGTATCACATCTCAAGGCTTGAAATTGTACATTCAGCTCAGAACAAATGCTGTCAGATGCTTTGCGGTCTTCTTGCAGGGAGTGAAGTCAGAGCCATCGTCTGAATTCATGTCTGACTTCGGTTATCATGCTATCACTCCAGCTTTATTAAATGGACCCTCCATTCCATCATCTTTTGTCGCTGTTATGTATTAAAAATAACTACACGTGATTACAATTAGGAGCTCCGGGAATTCAAGATACTTTTATGTCACAATGTCTAACAACTGTCTGCGGAACGAATATTACCTGCTGTTTAAAACTTGGAGCTGCTGCCCTTTTATTCTTTTTTTTCATGGGGTGGTGCCTTTAAGAGGAGTCTCTTATTGAGTTAGATGTCCTTAGGTTCAGGGAGTCACGTTTCCCAGAGGAGAGTACACACAGACACAATAACAAGATAACAGCCTGAGGAGAGGCCCTGCTGGTGTTTGTGACATGTTTTTACTCTCTGACAACTGCCTCTGCTGCCACTTTATTCCATCTGAGAATAAACTACTCTGCAGATCAGAAACAGGAGGTCTAATGAACAACACTATGGTTGATGTGAAATGCGATATGTACACTCATGGAAAAGTTTGGCAGATGAGGTCACAAAGACAATCACATGTTTTTTTTTTATATATCTATTTCGGTGTCAGTGAATAAGTATATTCGAGTGTGCGCCTGTCCAGAAAATTAGTTTGATTTGGTGAATTTTAATAATCACTGTTCCCTCTCTTCTCCCACCAGCGTCCTGGTGTTTGAAGTTTCAGAAATATGGACAGATATGAGGGGCCGTTCAACTTCATCTCCCTCCGTGCTCAGCTCCCTCTCAACGCCTCGATTGACATCAATGCTACGGTGAAAGCTTTCAGTGTCTTTGATGGGTGTGAGCAATACGTAGAGGCCATCTTGTTTGACCTCATCCTTCAGATCGTCAATGTTGTAATCGGAATCCCAGCAAACCTGCTCGTCATTGCCATACTCATTCATAATCGTAAACAGCCCTCCACTTCAGATATATTTCTGGGCTGCTTAGCTTTTATGGATGCTTACTTTGGTACCATTGCCCCCCTGGCCTTTTGCAACCTTTACATCTGGCACAGCAAAGAGGTTTGGTCAGCCATTAAGTTTGGCTATGGCATAAAAGATACCAGCGGCCCGTTGTTTCTCTCTTGTATCTGTCTGGATCGCTTTGTGGCCGTGCTCTTTCCTATCACTTTTGGACAGCTGAAACATGTCAAGTACAGGTTAGGCCTCACAGCGGTGGTGCTCAGCCTCACTTTCGCCTACTCAGCAGCCAAAATGGTGGGAGGCCTCCCAAACTTTGAGAAGGTGTTCACCGGAGAGATCTTGGCAACGTTCACGTGGATGCTTGTGTGCAACAGCAGCATCCTGTGGGCCCTCAAGAAGTCTCGGGGCGCAGGGAAAGACGAAATGCACCCTATGAAGAAGAAGGCTTTCAAGGTGGTGCTGTCAATCCTTTGTATTATCGTGTTTAACTACCTGCCACCTGTTGCAATATTCCCATTTGAAGACTTTTACAGTCCTGATGTGTTTCGCTGCTACGTGCAGCCTGCAGGTTTCGCCTTCTTGAATGTAGGTAGCACCATCCAGCCACTTGTCTACTTGTCTCGTCTGGAGAAAGTGCCTTTCCTCCCGGAGGCTTGCATTAAGAAGTGTTCCTCCTGTGTCACTAGAGAGAACAAGAAATCTGCACCTTCACAACAGCCATCCACTTAGAAAAAGGAAAGATGAATCTAAGATTATTTTCCTGAAGAGATGGTAATGCATTAGATCTCTGCTATTAATTACTGTATAATTTGTTCTGTAAATTAAATGGTTTTTAAAAAAAGCAGTTGCACCTAAAAAAAAGTTTAATAAAATTGCACATCTACAGTCACAATAATACAAAGAGCTGTGTTAAGTCTTTTTATCCATTTTTGTAAGATGATATTGAAACTGCACCTTTTCTAATAATTTTGAGACTGTTTACTAAAATCGCTCAATGGTTTGAATCTGGCGCCACCATGTGTACAAAAAAGAATAATAAGCATGACAGCACGCCAAAACAATGAAAGATTCAGAGAGAAGGTAGAAGTTTGATTTAATCTTCAGGATGAAAAAAGGCCAGAGGCAAATAGACTCTGATACCTATACTTCAGTATATTATTTTAATTTTTTCAAAGTTTAGCTACAAGGCAAGAGGTGAAGATCACAGGAATTTAAAAATCCAGGCTGATAAGCATATTGGTCATTTAAGATTTTTCACACCCCCTATGTGCAAAACAAAACACCAAATAAGAAACAATGAAAGAATAAATGAAAATCTTAATAAATGAACATGAATAGAGCATATGAAACATAACACTTCAAAAGACATTTATGTATTCAGACCATAAAAGTCCTTAAAAGAAATATGGTGTACTTTGAAATGTGCCCTGAATCTGAGCTATACATAAAGTGCCTTTAAATCTTTCTTCATGGTAGATTATTTCTATAAATATGTGTATGTGTTTGCGGGTGGGTGGGTGGGTGGTTGGGGGAAGTATAACAAATGGGAAATCAGCATTTAACACATTCACTGCTGCAGTTTTGTGACAATGACCTCCTCTGGCATTATTCTTAATGGATGGGAGCTTTGTGTATAAAAATATGGGAATAAAGGTTCTGTGAATGTGTGTGTAAATGTATAAATGAGTGTGTTGTCAGCAGTGTCATGAAAAGACACCATTCCCTTGCTGTAATCCAGTCGCACTTTGACCTGTTTTGGTATTTTTGACACAGTCAGCGGAGTGGGAGGTGAGGTCATTGCTCTGAAGCCTCCGTCCCGAAAACATAAAGTCCAAAAACCATTTTCAGGCCGAGCGGAGACCTCAGCGCTTCTCTGTACAGACAAAGAGGCCACACCCAACAGCCAGTCCTGATTACTTCCTGTTTCCACAACCCAGTGATGACATCCTGATCCCAGCGTGGTCATAGCCACCACTTCAGCGCTGAAGTGGAAGCGCTCGGGGTTGTCAGGGCAACATGTGGGCTGCTTTGAGTAGTGGAGGGAAGTGAGGTCGTGAGATAGGAAGAGGTTTGGGTGTGCTGTGTTGGGATCTAGAGTTACAGGGGCTAAAATATGGAAAATTAGTCAAGAGTAAAAAATTAAATGTAAATCAGGGTTTGAGTTGTACAAATCTAAAGGATATTAGCTAAGGCAGACTCACTGTAAGCAACATGGTCCAGCATTTTCTCCCAGACTCTGTATTTGAGGTTGGAGAGGTGTTTGCTCTTGTCAAGTAGTAATCCAAACATGCTGTCATCGCCGAGCACTGTTTTCTTTCCTCTGTGATAAGAACAGATCTTTTACATGAGTATATTGACAGTGGATCCGTGAAAAACAGTCCCGGCCCACATTGTTGTTACCTACCTGTCTTGAATGGTTTTGAAATTCTGAAAGAAAAAGTAAACTGTCACAACGGGAAGTTTTCACACATGAATGAAACATCACAAACCGTGCAAACCTTCAGTAAAACAATGCCGTCTTCTTTTAGCTGCTCCTGAATGACAGAGATGGTCTCGGTGATGGACAGCACCTCTTCCGAAAGCTCTTTAATCTTGTTTTTCATGGCAATCATCTTCTCCTCTTCCTCTTTTTTCACAGCTGCAACTCTGGCTGTCTCTTCTTGATAGAGGACTTGATGTAGCTGCTCAAACTGGGTTTTGATCATTTGCTCTGTCTCCAACGTCTGATTCTGGAGGGAGACAGTCACAACACATGTTATATTGATATATCTTCATATTGTATTGAAGTATTATAGAACCTCTCTGAAAAATACCTTAATGTACTCAAACATGCCAACAGAAGTTCTTTGAATCCTTTTGAGATGTTCTAGTTTGTCCTGTAAGTTCTTGATACATAAAGCAAGCTCATCCTGGAAGTAAAAAAGGTCTCAGTGAGCAAATCTAACATGGTTAGACATCATTTTTCAGATACTTTGGATGTTTCTGGCCTGGATTCTTTGTCAACAGTGTTGATGACAATCAAATACTGACTTGTAGAAACTGCATTTCAATTTAGTTGTACCGCAGACATTAGTAGCAGGTCAGTAAAGGATATTTTTGTTCCTACCTTGCAGTCTAGCATGGCCTCTTCCATGGGTAAACACTCATGGTTCTTATGCAGTCTGGAAACCTGACAGTCCACACAGATCGGCTGCTTGTCAATTAAACAGAAGTGTTTGAATGTTTTCCCATGCAGGCTGCAGCTCATCTTGTCCTCCAGCTGCTGTGAGTTCTGTCTTTTGACCTGCTGAAGAGCCTCACAGACATTCTTCAGGGCCAAATTCGACGGAGGATTAGACTTGGTTCCTCTCTTCCGGCAGATTGCACATTCTCGTATCCCTGAGTCCCAGCACTGCTTCAGGCAGCTCCTGCAGAAGCTGTGGCTGCAGGACAGCAGAACTGGGTCTTTGAAGATGTCTCGACAAATTGGACACGTAAGGTCGTCCTCGGGAAGCGACATAATCATCGGCTTGATGTGTGTTGTAAAGAAAATCCTCTATTCCAGGTCTTTAAGTTACTTGTCCAGTACGCAATCCTGATTAAACATGCGCCTCTCACTGAGCGCTCTCACTGCCAACCCATTGTTCTGGACAAGAAGCAGCAAATGCATTTGGTTTTCCTGTGCATGACTTTTGTGGGTGTAACAACAGTTATGCAGCACTGAAAAAAAAAACACTGCACAAGTGGGAAACAGGAAACAAAGCTCTCATTGGCTGGTTGCTGGGGTACTTTAAACCGGTTGCAAACTTGTTTTGACTCTGGAATGCAATCATTCAGGATAGGACTGTTAATGTCTTATTGTTGACGCCCATGCCGAAAGCCCAAAACATTGGCAAACATTTTAAACCATTTATGATCAACTGATTGTCTTTACAAATTACAGTTTACTCAGTAGTGACTATGAAGTTAAAAAACATATGGCGACTCAGTTTACAAAAATGTGGATTCATAAATGCTTGTGCTTGGAGGGCTTTTGCCTTCAGTTAGCTGATTTTGTCACAAATTAGCTAAAAGTTCACAGCATTAGGACATACCGTCCATAGTATTCCAGGATATGAAGTCACTAACTGAAAACTGATTACACAAAGATACATCTTAATGATTTGCTTGCATCTTACCTTCTGTGTCCTTTCTTGAATTAGACTACAACCCGAGACTGAGAGAATAATAATGAACACGGCTACTAAATATAGACGTTCAATGTGAAAGGGCTGCTTTGTTTTGCGGAAAGGAGTTGGAATGGGATCTGTTATTCTGGGTACTAACCTTTGGCAGTTAAGTTCACTTAAAGTTTGTACGTGACTTTTTAAGCATACAGCAACATCTATCAAAGTCTCTGTTTTTTCAGTATGCTCAGTATTATAATTATGAAGATTTTGTCATAGATTTCTGTTGGATGTTGTGTATTCAGATCGTTGGATGCGTAAAAATGTAATACTTTATGAAATTGCTTTAAATAAAGCCTTGTATCAATGTGGGGGAAGGGGAGTTGTGAGAGGCTAATCTGATTGACCTTCAGGGTAGAGTGTGTACCTTTAATAGACCTGCAACAAAATATGTGATTTTTTTCCCATGTGATTTGGGGTCACTCGGTTCGTGAGAAAAGGAGTCTAATTGATGAGTGATGTAGTTCTTCGCATCCTATCAGCCATTTCCACGAGGTCCAGTTCCTCCCTCTCTCCTCCGGTCTTTGGTTGCCATAGCGATGACGTCAAGTTGCACCACCGTTTCAGGCCAGTAGACGGTCGTTGAGGCGGTGCAACGACTCCTCGGCAATCGACTCCAGGAGCCATCCCCAATCCGATTCCCATCTTCTCCTCGAACACCTCCTGATTCATCCCTCCAAAATGCGCGAAATTGTGCATTTGCAAGCCGGCCAGTGCGGAAACCAGATCGGAGCCAAGGTGTTTTTTTCATTCGTTTTGTATCCGTTTGATGCATTCCGGTTCATGTGTGCAAGGTTACGTGCAGGCACGCTTCTGTAGCGGTGAAAGGAGCCTTCTAATCCATCCTACTGGAATTTTCTAGAAGCAACTTTATGTGGCTGCATGTTTAGGTCCAAGATGCGCGTTTTAAAAAAAAAGTTTTATACATCGAGCATGAATAACGTAACTGATCTGTGGTGTCGTTGTATTTATCGAGCTTAATTTAGGTGCTGATTTAAGTAAAAAAAATAATAATGCAAAAGGTCTTTGAGGCAACTAAGATTTATTTATTTATTTATTTTAGATTGAAAGCTGCATGTGAAACAATCCACTGGCATCTGAATGCCTCTCTGGTCAAATTTTGATTAAATTACACAATCCATCTAGTGTAGTGGTGATGGTGATGAAACCTTATTGTCAGGGAAGCAGCAGCTTCCCCTCCCCCTCATTATTTATGACCTGATTACTGCTTCTTTTAAAAGTCTTCTGTTGTAGCCTACTGATATTTATAAAACAGTGGAGTAATTTCAGATTAAGCTTTTGTAAATGTGTTAACTGAAATCATATATATGCTATCTTACTCCTACACAATGACTTTTCTTTTGACGTGCTTTATGCATCTTATTTTATAAAACAAACACAAAAAAGCTATATGCAAATGCAAAAACAAACAAGCTCTGAACCTATTCTATGTGTAAAAAATCATCAGGTAAGCAGACTTTTTGCATTTTGGGGGTAATTTAAGTCCTTTGATCTCACTAACTCAGCTTGTTTTTCTCAGTTCTGGGAGGTGATCAGTGATGAGCACGGCATTGATCCCACTGGAACCTACCATGGAGACAGCGACCTGCAGCTCGACAGGATCAGCGTCTACTATAATGAGGCCTCAGGTAGGCGGCAGATTCACCTGTAGTATGCATCACACCCAGAGGTAAACACTTTTCAGAGTGACTTACATAGATTTATCTTATGGAAATCTTTGTCCTTTTTACATACTTGCAGGTGGAAAATACGTGCCCCGTGCCATCCTGGTGGATCTGGAGCCTGGGACAATGGATTCCGTCAGGTCGGGCCCCTTCGGGCAAATTTTCAGGCCCGACAACTTTGTCTTTGGTGAGCTTTGGTAAATTAGTAAGAATACACTTTACCACGTTCAAAACGGAACTAACCGCCCAGATTGTTCTGCCCCGTACGACGATTGTGACTGCAGGTCAGAGCGGAGCTGGAAACAACTGGGCCAAGGGCCACTACACCGAGGGAGCCGAGCTGGTGGATTCCGTCCTGGATGTGGTGAGGAAAGAGGCCGAGAGCTGTGACTGCCTCCAGGGCTTCCAGCTCACCCACTCCCTGGGCGGGGGCACCGGCTCCGGCATGGGCACCCTGCTCATCAGCAAGATCCGCGAGGAGTACCCCGATCGCATCATGAACACCTTCAGCGTGGTGCCTTCTCCCAAAGTGTCCGACACCGTGGTGGAGCCCTACAACGCCACCCTCTCCGTGCACCAGCTGGTGGAGAACACGGACGAGACCTACTGCATTGACAATGAAGCTCTCTATGACATCTGCTTCCGCACGCTCAAACTCACCACCCCCACCTACGGAGATCTCAACCACCTGGTGTCCGCCACCATGAGCGGGGTGACCACCTGCCTGCGTTTCCCCGGCCAGCTCAACGCCGACCTCCGTAAACTGGCCGTCAACATGGTGCCCTTCCCCCGCCTGCACTTCTTCATGCCAGGGTTCGCCCCCCTCACCAGCCGGGGCAGCCAGCAGTATCGATCACTGTCTGTGCCTGAGCTGACTCAGCAGATGTTTGATGCCAAGAACATGATGGCGGCCTGCGACCCGCGCCACGGCCGCTACCTCACCGTGGCCGCGGTCTTCAGGGGGCGCATGTCCATGAAGGAGGTGGACGAGCAGATGCTGAACGTGCAGAACAAGAACAGCAGCTACTTCGTGGAATGGATCCCCAACAACGTGAAGACCGCCGTCTGCGACATCCCACCGCGGGGCCTCAAAATGGCCGCCACCTTCATCGGCAACAGCACGGCCATCCAGGAGCTGTTCAAGCGCATCTCCGAGCAGTTTACCGCCATGTTCCGCCGCAAGGCCTTCCTCCACTGGTACACCGGGGAGGGAATGGACGAGATGGAGTTCACCGAAGCGGAGAGCAACATGAACGACCTGGTGTCAGAGTACCAGCAGTACCAGGACGCCACAGCTGAAGAGGGCGAGTTTGAGGAAGAGGGGGAAGAGGAAGTTGCATAAAAACCTCATCACACACAGCTGCCAAACCTCATTTCACCTGCCTCATCCCCCAAACCCCCATCCATTTCATCCCCTTCCATCTTGAGTTGAATGCGCCGCTGCCCGGAAGAACTGTCGCCACCTAGATCTCTGATGCTCTAGTGTTAGACGTTGATGTTAAGTGGTACTAGTGAAGCTTTTCTTGGACATGTTTTGTATGTTGTGAATGCACTGGATTGTTGACATCTTTACATCTGTCCTGCCATTGCCTTGCCATGTTGAAAACCAAGTGATTTTAACTGTGAAGCCTGGAAAATGGAAGATGATTAAAATCACATTGAAAGGCCTCTCTCATGCCTCTGACGTCTTAATTCATTTTCTTGAAATTCTTAAAAACAACTCAGTTTGCTCAGTTTGCAACAGGCAAACAAATAGTAAGACATAGCAAGTTTTCTGGACTCTTAGTTTTATTAAAATACTTACTAGTAGGGAAAAAGAAGCTGCATGAAGGTAAATCATTTTAAATGAAATTTTGAATGGTGTATACTTAGCTGTAATGCAAAGAAGTTTTAGTCAGATTTGAACTAAGCAAAGGCAGATAATTAGAACAAAACCGTTTTTAGCTACTGCAAATCAATATTTCATCATTTAAGGTTACAGCTTTTGCATGTACAAAACCCTTGGTCCTGTAACTTTATCCACCCCTTATATTCTGGATCTCTTTCATACAGTCTCTTTCTCAGTGGTTTACTGGCCTTTGCTCCGTTGGCAAGTTATCATGATTATGTTTTCTCCTTTGCATGTGTGATCATATCAAAAGTATGTGTGTTTGGCCATCAGGGAATGAATGAGAAACATTGCTAAGCAGTATGTTGGAAATCGGGATTTAAAAGTTGCAACAACTCAGTCTTGGTGTCAAGTATTCTCTCATCAGTTTGGGTTTAAATTGAACTGGAGTAATAACTACCCTGAGGCATGTTCCTCTTTGTTAAAATGTCACTTCTGTGAGAGAAGCACCCTAACAGCAACTATTGTGTTTGGGCGAAACACAACTACACTGCTCACACTGTAACTTATCCATTAGTTCTACTTCTGGCAACTTTGATGCCCATGTTCCATAGAAATGCAACTTGTTTGAAATTCAGAATTTGAGGAAGTCGATCAGTTTACTTTAACTGAGGAGAACCAATAAGAACAATGTGGCTCATATGCGGATCAGGTAGGTTTCAGAGTAACTATGCTGAGAGGATTATTGGTGGACTGCTTTCGAGCTGCAGTGAGAGTTCAGAGTAACAAACACACACAGTTGTATCTGCCGCTGAATCTCGCTTCCCCGCTGGTGTGTTCAGGATGTGCAGACAAACAGATTCTGATGAATCCTCTCCAGCTAGAAGAATATAAGTTCACCATCTGACAGACTGCAAGGTGAACATTTTCTAATAATTTATGTTTAGCAGAGTAAACAACGCATTTGTTATGATGTGACAACAACTATCATTGATTTATTTCGGCTTTACAAAGGTTTTATACAACTTTGCACAATATTTCTCAATTTGTTAACAATTTATTTGACAAAAATCATAAATAAAAATTCTGGGAAACCTGTGTTGCTCTTTAATTAGCAGCTGTATATATTGTTTGATTTATGTAATAAAATGTTTCAATAGGGTGACAAAGAAGTATACCTAAAAGTGTAAACAAAGTTGGTTATTTTTGCTTTGTGTAATTTCCCAGAAAAATCCTGTTTTTAATCACAAAACAGGTCTTTGAAATCAAGAACCTTTACACTATCCTAGTGTGATTGATTGCATCCGCTAAAAAGAAAGGACACACAATCTTAGATTTGTCCTTCTGAAAGGCAATGGACCAAAGAGGTAAAGAAAGGTAAAAGCTTTGAGGTAAAAGATCAGCATAGATTGTGCATTGCAAATGTGAATTCATAAACGCCTGAATCAAAACAAACAGGCTACATTGTGAATTGTAAAATAAGGCAATTGGAGGAAAAAACTGGTTAGTGGTTGCAAAATACTGCTCTTATTTCGGTTGTGCTTAATCGACATTCAGTGTTTCTGATCTCCACTAGTAGATCCATCCAAAAGTTGTCTTCAGATTCTAGTCCAGGTACAACCTTGTTCTTGTTTCATATGTCGCAGAGTCAAAAACGTACTCCTGCCCCTCTGTTGAATGTGAAGAAATCCTTCCTGGGTTAATCAGCTCAAAGGTGAGAGCTTTGTCACAAAACACCAAGCTTTTGCAGGCGGGATTTTGAAACAGAAAGGGCACGAGTCAAATGAGTCTCTCCTCCTTTGGTAACTTCAGTATGTCAGGTGCGGCTACGCTGCGCGCTCCAGACTGCTCCTCAGAACTGGGTCTGTACGTCCCTTCAGTCTGTCGTTTCTTTTTCACCACACAGAACAACCAGCAGAGAACAGCCAACACAATGGCCAGCACACCCAAAGTCACTGTAGGCGCCACAATAACTGCTACATTGTTTCCCTGAAAGGAGAAAAATGTTTGACAGTTAACCCTGACAAATGGATGATATCAATATTGCAATAATTATTTAATCTCACTCACTGATTCGGTTGCATTTCTTGAATAATTGCCTGTAAAAAAGTGCAGAAACATTAGGGTCAGTGGCATACCTGAAATTAAGAAATTGAAAGACACCAAAAATATTTCTATGCTCTTTACCTGCCTAATGCATGGTAACCTAGATGTCAGAGGAGCCTGGCAAGTGCATACGATTGTAAGTTTTTTTAATTTGGGTTTTGATTTCAGCAGTTCCTCCGACATACATTTCTGGCTCTTTGCTAAGTTTCTTATCAAAGCCCTTAGCAAAAAAAAGAAGCAGCAAAGAAGTGTTTTAAAAAAAAAAAGATAATAAAATTTGCATTATTTTACAATGCATGTAAAGTGCATTTAGCACAACTTAAATGTAAGGTGTGAAGGCATAATAACCTGGTATCTCAATAAAATGTTAAATTGTTTTTTGGTGTGCGAAAACTGTAACTTTAAAACGTTACAATTTAATTCAGTGATGGCTAAATTCCTTTCTTAGCTACTGTTGAAATGTTTTAGTTAATCCTTGAATAACGAAATCATGAGGACAAGCAGTGCAGCATTTGTTACTCTTGTCTTTTTGCACGCTTTGACGGATTATCATGATACTTGTAGGCTTTCCAGATACTCCTCCAGTCAAGTGCTGCCACCAGCCATCTGATCCATGACCAGACAGGAGGTTACTCAGTTACAAAATGAAGTTTCATTGTGACTACTTAACCAGCGGAGCAAACAAGCTGGAAGACAAACCCAGGATTGCTGAGACAAATTTCACACTAATCTGAACGACAAAAAACAATTTACTAATTTTGTTCAACTGTGCAAATGAATGAAAAACGGTTTTAAATACGTTTCGTTATTAAATGTTTGAGCCTGACCATAACTTCTTCTTAGTAAATCATTCACTGAGGCAAAGAGTAAACTTTCCAAGGACAAAAGAAAAAAACTTGATAAGAAACGGCAGAGGTTGGCAGAGAGGGTAAGCATGGACACACAAAAATCTAAATATAACAAATTGAGTTCTTTCTTGCACTGGGCCTTCAATTTTTTAATTCCCCTCTATACAAAATGTGATTTAGAAAAAGCTGAAAAGTCCACACACATTCCAGGTGTTCGTGTCTTTCCAGATTCTGTGCTTGTGAGCGCAAGAGTTAATGGTGCGAGTGTGCGTCTAGGTGTGGTTGAACCAGTGGCTCATTTGTATGGGAGTGTTGAAGAAGGCTACAAACTCACCCCACACAGGATTACTGCTGAGTATCAGCAGGAAAACACTCCTAACCACAATTCCAGGGATGGCCAGCATATCCGGGCACGTTGCCATCTCTACGCGTGACCTGCCCTGGGACATGGGGGCATCAGCTCGGGTCCATTTAATTGGATCCCACATTCACTTTGAAGAATTCGTATCTCCTTTGAACAGCTGCAAACACATCATTATTGGAAAACGTGGGAGAAACGTCCTTTCCAGCTTACTTCTATGATCTGAGGCTGAGTCAAGCAGCCGAAACCACTACCACTGAGTCACATTCAGCCTGATGTTGAATCAGCATCAAACCTGCTCATACCGCACAGAAATAACACTGTTATTAACATATTCTATGACTAAAGCCACCAATGATCTGCTCCTTTATCCTGAACATTATAGAGGGGGCAAATGTTATGAAAGAAATTACTTTTAAACAAGATAATCCGACACATACCCTCGATCTGGCTGCTTCCAGGAGGTCAGAGCAAACAGGGAAACATCGAACAGGTTGATTCCTCTGGTGTGAGAAGCTTCCGCCTCACCTTGGCAGATATGAAACCACAACAGATTGTGTCCGGCCAGAGAGCTACAGGTGAGGCATTTAGCCGCAAATGCTCCAGCACTGCTTGAATTGGACCTTTGGAATCGGACTACATCCTCGGCAGCTGTATCACAAGGTATTTTATGTAAAGCAGTTTTTTTCTCCCCCTCCTCGTCCACTCTTCAGATCGCCATTGGTCACGTGATTCCGTTTCGGGTTTCACTACCTGTGCACAGTTATCTACCTGCAGCCCGGCGAACAGATCCTCCTTTGTGCAAACTCCAAGAAGAAAAAAGGCAGTTTACTGAAGCAGAGATACAAGATCTTTAAAGAATGAGCAGACCGGTTTATTTCCTAGAATAAATATACACACTGTTAGAAGTTTCGTTGTAAGTAGATTCAATTTCTGATTCTCAGTTGAGGCACACCAGCCTTCTGTTCCTTGTTCCAACCTGCACAAGTATTGTGTTGGACTGGTCTCCCTGCCCAGCTCTCACCTAGCAACCTGCCCCACGGTGGAGGCACGAAACAGCGCCTCCACCAGGTTTCATGTTTCCCATCACGAGAGGGAATATCAACATTCCTGAGATGTTTTAAGGGTGAATTCGGAGGCCAGCTGGTCCACGGGGTTTCTAATCCTCACCTAATCTTCCCTCCTCAGACTCCGAGAGGGCAAAGAAAATGTGGCCTGCTCAGGTTTAAATCTGCGCCTCTCTGGATTTCACACAGACTGTGTGTCAGAGCTCAGACGTGCGTCAAAAAAGCACACTGGGATGGAAAATCACTCCAATATTTCTTGTATGAGTCATACTGAGGAGAATCCCAATTGTGTTTCTTCTGTATTTTATGGTGTATAATACTATGTACCAATGATGACTTCATTTCCTGGATGATTCACAAAACTTTATACGTACAAATAAGAAGATTCTTCTCTAAATATAATTCAACCATTTGTAAAACTCCCACAGAAATATTGATGGTATTATCTGTCTAAATCTGATCATAATGTCCAAGTACAAGATAATGAGCCAATTAAAACATAGAATGGACTTTTTATATTCATCTGTCAATACCATATTTGAAACCACCAAAAAGGAACATAAAAGGTGGATGTAGATATCGAAGGAATTTTGCCCTAACACATAATTTTAATAGATTTGTACAGTAAAGTGAGTTGCCCTATAACATTTTAAAAACTTGATTTATGGATTAAAAAATTTGACAATTTTGAATATTTTATTGGAATACATTATATTCTCTTCACTGTTGTTCCTTTCATTAAATCATTTTAGCAATTTAAACAATTAAACAATTATCAAGCAATTAAAAAAAGGCTAACTGGGTGTCTTTAAATCATTCCAAAAGATCCCAAATTTGATTGGCAAAAATGTAAATACTTTGTTTGCTATGATTGATTAAAATCTTGTTCACAAAAGGTTTGAAAACATTTTGCATTTTTAAATTTGAAAGAATGCAATAGATACATTTAAAAAAAACGTATCATTGGTAACTGAAATACTCATTTCCATAAATAGTTAACAATATTAATCCAAACATAGCATGGCACAACTATGACATGAACACATTCAGGACGGCTGCGTTGTGTCGCTAGGGGGCGATAGAGGCGCTTTGCCCTTTGTTTGATAGACGATGCTCTTCGCGTCCCTCCAGCTTGCCGTAGTCGCGGAGTAACCTGGGAACAGTCAAAGCGGCGGGAGAGCGGCAATTTATTGACAAATTTCACGAAATCCTGTTATTCTTAACTTTGACGGATTGAGTAGTGTAATATTTGTCACATGAACAAGGCATACATTTATTAAAGCGACAGGTGTGTCTACAACGATACTCCTGGTGCTTGAGTCTTTGAAAGATCTTATTTTAAAGCAATCCCGTCAAACTGGACTAGGGGGTTGTTTTCGATTAGCCCTCGTATTATCGCTCCAGCAACAATGGCGAAGGTACAAGTGTTGAATGTGGCCGTCCTAGATAACCCGAGTCCCTTTGGAAACCCTTTTCAGTTTGAAATAACGTTTGAGTGTATGGAGGACCTCCCCGAAGGTTGGTGGTATAACACAGTAGCTGTCATTTTGTTTTGTTGTGTCTGAGACTAAAAGGAGTGTTGTCAGTTGAGTCTATAAAGTGGCTAATGGCTAACCACATCTGCTCTGCCAGATAACGTCGACCAATAAGTTCACTGATGGGGTGACGCTATTTAATTGTTAAACACCACTTTGTAAACTTTCTGTGAACGATTTTTAACAGTCATTTTACGTCACAGTCAAATAAATACATGCTTCCAATGGCTTGTGTTTGATAATAATTAATGTGAAAAGTTAAAGTTTTTTATCTGTCTTTCCAGATTATCTTATTCTGCTTAATCTGTTTATATTTGGGTAAACATGACTGCTATGGCACATTTTGCATTACCACAAGTTACTGTAAAGCAAGTCTGACAAAACTCAGTTATTTGATTACTGATTATGAAATAATGTCATGCTGTATTATCAATATGTCATAGTAAGATTTGAAGTGATTGTAACTGTATATGTTTTTTCAAAACAATTTTTATGTAGACCTGGAATGGAAGATCATTTATGTTGGCTCAGCGGAGAGTGAGGAGTATGACCAGGTCCTGGACTCAGTTTTGGTAGGCCCCGTCCCTGCTGGAAGACATATGTTTGTGTTTCAGGTGAGCAAAAAACAAAATAAAACAACATCATTTTGTGAATAATAAATATTTATTGGAAGGTTTTTAATCTGTGTAAAACAAAATTGTGCACAAAACAAAAATGTAATACTTATTTGGCAGCAGCACAGCTCATTCAATGTCACGTGGGAGCTAATACAATTGTTTCTTCTACATATGTTTCTTTAACAGGCTGATGCACCAAACACTGGATTGATCCCTGAAAGTGATGCTGTTGGTGTAACTGTAGTGCTGATTACCTGCACTTATCGTGGCCAAGAGTTCATTCGCATTGGATACTATGTGAACAACGAGTACACGGACCCAGAGCTTCGGGAAAATCCTCCTAACAAGCCAGACTACACACAGGTCAGATAAGTCTATGAAAAATGTGTCATCAACATAACTGCTTTATTTTTATATTAATGGGTTAGATAAATGTCGTTTTTTCCTAAACAAATCTGCAAAATCCAAGTTCTGCTTTGCATAAATCAGACATTCAGAAGTCTTACTTTAAGAGCAGGGTTGAAGGTATAATTTCCTTCCAAATGTTCTCTATTGTGGCTGAAGACTTTTGTACTACAAAGGTTTCCAAGAAAAAAATCTGACAATTATGTGATTGTCGCGTCCCAGTGTTGTGTGAATGCAAAATACAAAATTTTTACCTGAACAGTGTTACTATATATGGTATGTTAACTACAATAACTGATTCAGCATGGTCAACTGTTCATACTCTGACTCAAAAATAATAATCTAGGATGGCAGCCCTTAAGAATTTAGGCATTTCATCATTGGCTTTCCTTTACGCATCTTTCAGTATTGTATTATGAGTTCGTATTGACACAAAGAGGCAAAACATGTTGAAAAAGATGTAACCCAGAGGCTTAAATGGAAAATCTTATGAAAGAAAGATTATTTCAGACATCACATCACAAATGAGTCCTTAGAAGTCTCAATGGTATCTATAAAACTGTAGCTGTGTTCTAGCTACAAACTGCTATATTACTGAATATTTAATCTCCCTCTTCTGAGCATCCTTTTATGTTCAGAAATTTTAAGTACAACATATCAACACATGTTGACAATATTTTATCGGTCATGTTGTTTTTTGAAAGGGGTATTTGTTGGTAACCTGAACCACCTCCCCCCCTTTTTTTGGCCACATCGGACTGCAGTGCAACACAAAACTCCTCACCAACTATTCAAAGCACTGGGGCCAAATTTTAAAACCAAACACAGCAATAAATAAGTCCAATGTCAAATTAGAAATGCATGAAAAGTGATTCGTCTGGGATCTTTTTTCTCATTCCCTCTCTATATGTTCTTTTTTCAGCTCCAGAGAAATATTCTTGCATCAAACCCAAGAGTTACCAGATTCCACATAAACTGGGAAGGCTGTGCAGAGAGAATGGAAGATTCAGAAAATGTGGATCCCACGTCAAACTCCATGCTCACTCCATCTTGTCTTCCGGGCAAGGACCCGCCTTTGCGGGTGCTTCCAGATAATTCGATGGACTTTTTATAGAGATGCCCCCGGTCCATGAGGGGGATGACTCGCAGCACTCAATCTTATTTTTTAAGAATGCCTATGGACATTCAAGTGTGGACAAATTTGTGTACAGAACTCCCTGCCTTACTGCTTTTTTTCTGAAAAAACCCAAACTTTAGCTCTAGTCTAGGTTGTCTTTGAGCGTTTGCTCTAAAAGTATTCTCAACATCTTCAAGAAACACAAATGGCTATTGTCATGCTTTCGAAAGCAATATTTATGCGCGGAAAAGAAGGGGCAGCTGAAAAGCAATACATCTGAGGTCAAACATAACAAAAGGCTGTTGAGTCCATCGTTTCACTTTAAAACAGATTTGTCATCATTTACAGACATTGCAGTTTTGAACATTTGGCAAATCTCTTGTAATGTGTTGCATTACAGGAATTAGATAATCTACTATATTTTATTGAAAATGCACTTAATCCATGTGCCACTTATATTTTGGTTGAGCTTTGTAGGGCTATGTAACTTCCATGTTTTTGTTTTTTGTCTCTGGTTTCAGTCACAAATAAAAGACTATTGTATTTGTTACATATCTGTGCCTTACTATTTTTTCGTCCCAAACATTTGGGAACAATGTTTTTATGATGTTATTCATGGGTATGGTGCTAACCTAAAAAGTATACTTAAACAAAGCAGTGCTAGCTGTGTAACACAAATAATCACTGAGGATTCTCAATGATTGTTTGAGTTACATTTGTATTTTCACATTTTACTAAAAATAGCCCGTGTTAACGTCACATCCAATCACAGATTAGTCGGATAAAAGGAGTGGATCGGCGGCGGAAATAAAGAAATCGCACGGTAGATAGGACAATGACTTTAAATAGACTATGTTTAATTAATATTCTTCGGGATGCAAAGTCTTACAGTTGACAACATAGCCAAAAAGAAAAACACGGTTACAGTTATGGGCGTATTGGCTACTAGCGTGTCATGGAGGCGGGATAAGACTGTTTGACAGACGAATTGCGTCAGTGCGATGACTTGATGTATTGATCTTTATCCAATCGGAGTTTGCTGTACTATTTCTATGCATGTAGAGAGCCAATCAGAAACACGAAGAGGCGGGATATAGTGGATGGATGACTGGAGTTTCCCTTGCGGTCTAAAGATTAATGGAAGGGGTCTGTTGATCTGAAGAATCGACTTCAGATGGTCGGTCCCCGGAAACCAATGCACTTGGCGGCTGGTTTTCAAGCGAACCGATATATATTACTTTGAAGAACCGACAGAGAAGAAAGGCTGTTACTTGGACACAGATTTTGGTTTTCACGTCTCAGTTGACAAGGCCTGCCTTCAAAGAGATAGCACCTGGTTAGCTCAAGCCAAAAATCGACTGCAAGGGACGCTGGAAGCTAATGCTACCTTGCTAATTGGATATACTGACAAATCTTTTGATGGTCTGTGGCTGATCTGGATTTGGAATCAACCGAACCGTCTGTGGAAATAAAGGAAAGACGAGTAACAACAGGATTTCATCGGTGCTTGCTTGCAAATCCAAGAGCTAACGATAGGAAGTCCTTATCCGCTGGCTATTTCTGCTAGCAATTATCCTAGCCTCGGTCTGCCATACTGTCAGTGCTAGCTGCAGACTTGGATACGCCGACTTGGCTGGAGTTTTCCGAAACTCACAAACTGTAAAGTATCGCACTTATTTACGTTTCTTTTCCCATTATGATAGCTGTTAGCTAGTTAGCAGCTTTATTGAGTTTTACTGCTGCGTTGGCGCTGTAGCATCACACAACGACTTGCAAAGAAAAACTCATTCCGAGCCGAGGGACTCCACCATCATCCTGCCATCATGGGCAACACGCCCACCGCAAAGAAGGGCAATGAGATGGAAAGTGGTGAGTACCCTGCACCCTCGGTTGCAGTAGATAACTGTATCACGTCGCCTGCTTGGAGATAGTTTTGCTGTAGTCATTTCCTGTTTCCTATCATGGCACCAACGTTTGCTACAGATACTATTAAAAACTTTCTCAGGGTCAATTTTGAAATGACACAAACTGCACATTTCAAGTGCAGGGGCATCTTTAAATCCCATTTCCATCTAAAACCCAGAAGTTGTCAGACCACAGTCATCCCAGCCAAACAGCAGAAGATGCAGCTCGCTCTCATCCTGTGGAAAAACTCGTGATTCGAAGCCCCAGGTGATATTTAGAGGTACCAGGGAGGATGACAACAGCCAGTCTTCTACACCAGTCATAGGTTTTCTCGTGGTTTATGTGTTGCTGATTTTTTTTTTCTTTCCACTTGCAGTGTTATGAAAGGTTGCAATATAATTGCAAACATAGACCCTTGTTTTGAGTTGTTTTTCTTTGCACATTTTAATAACTTAATAACTTCAGGACAAAACATTCTTTGTGAACAGAGGTGGCATTGTTTGCAAAAAGTGAAGCAACAGCGGAACACTTATTTTGTTTGCATTATTTAAGGAGTTGAATATTTGTGCACATTGGTCCCCAAACTGTGTTTTCTTTTTATTTATTTTTACAGGACTAGGAAAAAAAAGTTGGTTATCAGTGCAAGAAAAGGCCATCACGGCACGATCATGTGATGCATGAGGGTTATCCTCCTCAGACAGAAACTAGGGAGTAGAAAAGTCTCTTGAACAGCATGTGATGAGCAGCATTTAGAACAAAGGCACTTGTATTTGTCACTAAGTGTGTGTGAATCTGTGTGCATGACATGGCTAGAGATACTTCGTTGTTGTTCTCCTAAACCATTTCTTGAACATTCCCTTTTACTCAGCACGTACTTTTGGGTTTTCCTTCTTCCAGCTAAGCTCACTTTTCTTAGGAAAGACTTGGGAGGAAAGTTCTTTTTACCTCTTTATTCACAGCACCATAAATGACACCAGAGTGTGCAAAGTCTGAACAGGTATCTGCGAAATGAACAACAGCTTCTTGTTACTGGTAGAGAGTAGGTGTAAGGAATGGCCTTCAGTGTCTGTAACATTAACCCATCACTTTTAATAAGGCCTCAACTGTCAGATGTCGTGGCCTTTTTTTTTATTTAAATTTTTTTGTGTGAATTGGAAAATTCTGTTCTAGTAAGTCTAAGGAAAAAGAGGTGGTGAGAAGGGGGAGGTGTTACTGTTAGGTGCATTCATGTGTCATGCTTCACATTCTTATCGGGCCGATCGCAGTGGGTCCACCCTGATCTCCAGAGACAGGTGCAGACCACGGCTCCAGAGCCCACACCCAGCAGTGTAATTTTCCACAGTCGGAAGGACAACATGGCAGGCCCTTTTTGGTTTGTGCGGAAAATGGACAGATAGTGTTGAGTGCCGTTTCAGGTACACGTCAACTGTTGCCCAATGACTTTCCAGACAGGAGGAGAGGAGTGGAGAGCGGGCGCTCGGCTACACAGAGCTGTTCTGTGGCCCACAGGAAGAAGCAGGGCGGATGGACACTGTGAACTGCAGCAGGAAGTGAAGGAGCAAGGAAGGGCCAGCCCAGGCTCTGCACAGTTGGCCATCTCCTCTCCTGGTTTACAAACCAAACACAGCCAGCCTGGATGGCTGGAAGTCTCTAGCTGTCAGGACGCTGTTGTTTTGACTTTTTCTGGATTTCACTCTCGGTAGCAGATCTGGACTCGACTGGAGGGGTTGAAAGTTTCTGCCTCCTGCTCACTGGCTCCCTTCAGGCTCGCATGATGTCTGTTATTCACAAGCTGGCAGGAAGGTTGTTTCACCGAACTGGACCCTGCCAAGGGGACCTGAGTGGGGACGGCAGGCACCAGCCGCCACAGGAGGAGCTAGAGGCTTTTAGCTTGAGTGAGTCTTCTTTCTGGTGCTGGACAGAAATGTTGGTTATGGGTGGAGCTGCAGTGTTTATCCTTTTTATTGAGAGGAGATAGGATCCCAAAATAGTTTCAGTTGCATTCAGTTGGTTTCCAAGCATGTTTTTTTCATGAACTTTGTATGAAATTGACTCATTAGGAATTGAAAGGGGTTGTGATTGTTTACAATGAATTGGATTGTGCCTTGAGATAACATTTAATCTCTATCAAATTAATTTCATTTGATATAAAGCAACCTATCATAGACATTGCTGGATGGTCTATTTTTGTAACCAACGTTGCTTTTAGTTTTTTTTAAGTTGCGTCTCATGATCTAGAGAGTAGGGTGTCTTAATGGCTTCATCTTTTTTTCTCTCCAGTTATCGGTGACCGGTGTGTACGTGTTTTTGTATGTCATTTCACAATTTTCGGTTGTCTGTGAGCCCTTTCTTTCTGTTCACCTTGGAAGGGATTCATCAGTTAGTGTGGAAGCATCTGTTATTTCCCCATGCAGCTAGAATTCTTTCAGCCTCGCGGTGTAATAATGAGGCCTCTTAAAAATGCAGCATAAGCTCATGTAAAAAATATTTGCAGTGTTAGTATTTGATGACTGGAGTGTGTCTGTCACAGCACCTCTTTAGCACGCCAGCTGGACCTTGCTAAGCACCTATGTCATGTGTTTTGAACGTGACAAACGGTGAGGTGGCTCTCTCTCTCTCGAAGTTAAACTCTTTCTTTCTATAAATATCCCCGTGAGTCCTGTCCTGTTCCTGCGATGCATGCAGCGGGTTTGTGTAGCGGCCGGGTTTGTGTTTGGATCACTCATCACTTCCTGTCTCTAGTTAAAGGGGCTTTGTTTTATATTTACACTGTCAGGGGCCTGTAGTGGCGTGTCAGTCAGGCCGCCTCAGGCACACCTGCAGGGCTGTACCGGCTATTTGGGAGGATGATATAATTCTGAGAAATGATCCTTTTATCCGGGAGCTTCAGAGGAGAGGTTTGGCGGTTATAATGTACCGTTTCTTTTTAAGGGAGTAATGATTCACCAAAACTACAGTTTGTGGAATCTCTCGGTCTTGGACGGAAAAATAATCCCGAGAACAAGCGCCGTCCCAGTTAACTGATGGTTGCTCTGATCTTTAAACGATTCGGCTTTAATGACAGCCCTCTTCTGGTTCCGCGTAAAAAGCGTGAGAAATGGCAAGAACAGACTAAAAGTGTTGTAAAAGATGTACAAAAAAAGAGCACAGACTCGGCTCAGCTCATGTGATTGCATGTTTGTGTATGTGCTCGCAACCTCAACACAATTACGCAGTCTTTTCCCCTGAAACGCATCCTGCTTTTGTTACGATTTTATTCTGAATGTTCTGAATAGTTGCGGTAATGTACACGCAACTCTTTTTGATTGTCCTCCAGATAAGACGTGTCCAGTAGTCGGTATTCACCTGTATTGGTCATCTTTGAGAAGGCAGCAAAGGATCGTCATCTCTTTTCTGGACGTCAACATGGTTTCACACTTCGTCGAGTTAAAGAGGGTTTCTTTTTTTTTCTGGCACAAAAGGGTGTTTGAGTCAGCACACACCGTTGATTATTTTGGACCGGACCAGAGACGTGAGCCCCGAAGTGTGGAGTCGGAGTCAGCTGCCAGCTGTCTTTTTTGTCTAGTGAAATCTAGTAATCCCTTGTCTTTTTATCTGCACATTTTCAGTGAAAAGCTGATTTCACGGGGGGTTTTAAACCAGTGTTAAGTGTGTTGTAATCCACAGGACGTTTATCTGGGGATTTGTTTAATTTCAGGAACTCGTGAAAAAGATTCATTATTGCATTTGTAGTTACACTGTCAGCACCTAGATGCAAAGACTGTATCTATTAAAAAAAAAAAAAGATTCCTGCACAAAAAACTTTGCTGATTCTGTGCCAACGTTTACCTCCAACTCTGAGACGGTGGATTTTGTGTGGTAGAATAACTGTGATCATCATAATACGAACATGCTCGAAGTTCAAGCCGTGCTAACTTGAGCAGGTGGAAGCTGCAGCTGACGGCCAGACAGCAACGTGCACGGCCACTTCCAGACAGATCCAGGAGCGTCCCGCTTAGATGACCAATATTTAACCGTTTGCGATGTAAAAGTAACATCGTGTTGCTTTTAAAGTAGCTGCAAGTACTCCCAACTAGAAACTATGAGGCAATATAGAAAACTTTAGATGAGTCAAATGAACAAAACACAATTTCTGTGGTCAGTAGCTGATGTTTGTGACCAAACATCTAGAGTTTGTTCTCACCTGAGCAAAGGACTCCGCTTTAGTTCTTGGGGCATTTTGGGGTTTCTCTCCGCATTGCACCATCAGACCTTCTGGGAAATTTGCCTCAAAGTTCAGTGCAGCCGGCCACGTCTTGCAGGATCTCTCCTTGACGACAGCAGCCGCTCTCCTTCCAAAGGAACCCCCCCCCTTCTTTTCAGACGTGAACTTCTTCTGCAGCACCGCCAGGAGCGTCCTCAGCCGCCGCGCTACAGCGTGGGACGGACACTGCTCCGGCCCGGACCGAAAGGTGCAGCAAAATCTGGCAGAGGCCGCCACAGCGCATTGTTTGAGCCTCACTTCCTACAATTGAAGGCCTTTGTGAGCAGTGTTGTTTCAGGACGGCGCACACCAGGAAAGACTTTCCACCCGGCACACGTGCTGTTTGCCCTCCAGCACTCTGGGAGGCGCTACTTTATCTTCTGGATGACCAACCCCCCCCACCACACTCACTGCCCTTCTTTACAGTTTTTCTCTTTTTTTAAAGATTTCTTTTTTTTTAAACAACCATCCCACTCCCACTGCTCTATTTATCTGTTGTACCTACTTTTTAGTAACAGCCCCCTGTACCCATCTGTAGGGATCTACCTCCATGGACTTACACATTTCTATAAACCGGCTCAGTGCTATATGTCATTGCTCATACCTGTTGCATGTTCAAGGACAAAGTTTTACCTAATCTAATCTAAAATCGTGGTGTTCAATACGTGGAGCTTTGTGTGGTCAGATGGACGGTTATTTTTACCAGCCAGTCCTCTGCTCCCCAGCAGATCAGTGATTTACTGGCCAGCGGGTTTCAGGACAGTAGATTATAAAACAACTTTCCATTGGTGGTGTTGCTAGTAAATGCCCCCCTGGCCATACAAGGCTGGCGACAGAAATAGATTTTTCACTTTTTCAAGTAGCAAACATATTTCTAGCTCGCATGCTGCTCCGTTTGCCCCCCCTAACTGTTTCCTCATGATCCACTTGGGCCTTTTTTCTCTCCGAACAAGGCCGGGTGTCGCCTCAGACCTGATTTAACAGGCTTCACGCTTTAATGTCGGTCAGCTCGCCCTAATATAACCTATCCGTTTCTGCGTCAGAGTGGGCCAGCGAGGCCCCGGGGAGTGGTGTGGGATTGATTTTTTTTTTGGGGGGGGGGGGGGGGCGGATCAATTCGGCAGTGGCACTACATGGACCAACTCATTTGGGCTGGGAGGAAATGTTTTGAGGTGCGGTTAAGCGTTCCTGTTTTGCGCGTCTCCCGAGAGTACCGCTTTTTATGTTTTTGAAAACACCCAGAACGTCTCTGACGATTTTTCATCAAAGATGTGTCATCTGATTGGTTCTGCTAATTAGGGAAAGTTTCGATAGCGTTGAGATCTCTGTGGTTCATCTCAGGGGCCTTTACTTAGGCCTAGTTTTCCATGGGACTTCATCTCTGGGTTGGATGCATATGCCAGCTAGTGTTTTTTGCCCCTCCCCCTGGTGATTATGCCCCTGTTTAGATCAATATATAGCCTTTATGTGTGTGTGTGTGTGTGTGTGTGTGTGTGTGTTTGTGCGTGTGTGTGTCTCTGGCATGAGGGGGAACAGCAGCGAGCACTTTGTGTACAGAATAAATATTGATACAAACCAAGCAAGGGTCCAATTGATCTGTGTGAGTGCTAACGGGAGCAGGGCTGCACTTCATGCTGGGTCTGACCGCACGCCGGAGGTGGATGCTACTTTTTCGACTGGGGCTCCAACGTGGTGACGGTTCCCTGGACGTTCTCTGTTGGCAAGGACTGTTTTTTTTTTTTTTTGTAGATGAGAAGGTGCTGATCTGACCGGGGCGCTCCGAGAGAGAGGATAGGCCATGAGTCAGTGGCTGTGAGGGGGGGAAAAAAAGCAAAGGAAGAAGCACGGGGGAGACTTTTCCAGGCTAATGTGTGACAGGAAGAGCTCCAGAAGGCATGCAGGGAAGAGGGAATCGTCCTCACGCTCGAGTGAATCTGTGTCGCGCTCTGCAGATGCCGCAGCACCAGAGGTGCCCATAGTCCTCCCAGATGGTAAGGAGTATCTGTTTACAGGATGGGCAGCTTGGAGCTAAATCACTGTTCATCTCCAACCTGCAGGGCCGTAACAGAAGACTACCCTAGCAAACGTGTCGAGACGACCGGGCAACCGAATTCCCCACAAGACACATGAGGATTTGGCCATTGAATTCCCAGCCTAATTTTCCTCGGCGCGGTTCCAACTTGTTCCCGCCACAGCTCCATTTTAGAGTCCTTCTGCTTGGAAGTGGAAGTTGAGCAAGCTTCGCAGGAAGCATTTTCTCCCCGGTGACCACACGGCTTTCATTGCTCTCTGTGGGAGCTCCAGAGCTCCCGACGTGTTTATGTGAACTTTGGTCCGTGCAGCCTTTGCTGGCCTTCTCCCATCCTATTGTTGGAGCTGCAAGTCTTTAGAGAGTTTGCAGGAAACTAGACCAACTAAATGAGGATTAACATTTGTGGGGCTTTTGACAGTGTGTGTGTGTGTGTGTGCGCGAGACCCAAATCGATCATATGAGACGTTTAGTTCGATGGTTTGTTGCTTTGTCATAATGTTAATTATTTTCTTCAATTGAAATCTCATGCCAAATGCTCAATAGTGTTTATAGTCAGGCCGATTAATAAATTCCAATGCACTTTGACTGTTGACAGCTGACTAGCTTTGTCTAAACTGTGCCTGGGGCTGTTGTTTTGCATCGATCACCACGACACACAGAAAAACGCCACATGACTGAAAGCTCAGTTTGGATTTCCAGAGTTTTTCACTTGATCTTGCGTAAAGTAAATCTGGGTCTAGATGGTCCTAATTACCACCATCCATTATTTCCCCCTTGAACACACTCATCGAAATGTGAAGATATTTATCAAAATTGCAAGGAACAGGAATGTCTGACATTTAAAGAAGTAGAAGAATAGCGCTGCTCCCCGGTTTGATATTCACAGAAAGTCATTTAGCAAGGCAGCGAATTTAAATAGTCCGCTTTTTTTTTTCTTTTTTTTTCCTGACAGCAGTTGTTCATTTTCGGCTTCCACCATTTTATGTCCAAGGCTAACAGTGAGAGGAGCGTTGCTCCCTCGGCTGCTGCGGCTGGTACACAGTCTGAAGGAATGAGGAAGGGCCGGTTATCTGCTTGTTCCCACACAGCAGAATGATTAGCCCCATAAAGATAAGGGGTACAAATGAACTTCTCCATATGACAATATGGGCAGCGGGTTGTGATTAATCTGCCCTCTGCCGTACGCCTGTGGGCCCGTAATCTCATCTGTTGTGCGTTTGTTGTCGCGCTGCCGGCGTGTGTCGGAGGACAGCAGGAGTGGCTGGCTTCTCGTGGGCCGCGGGTCCCGCCGGGGTCCCGACCCGTTTTGCAAATATTCCTCGGCTATAAAGACCCACTAATGCCCCGTCTGATCTTTCCGTCTGGATCTTGGAGTATTGTTACCCATGGCACTTCCTAAGGAAGTTGATCTTGGTTGCCAGCCCCAGGATGTTTAAGGCACTCAGTAGCTCTGCCTCTGTTGCCAGCAAGTCAAGATTTCTGTCATTTTGACTGTCCGAAACGGGAGTACTAAGCAATGTAGGTTTTATTTCAGCATTGTGGCGTCTGGCTGTCCTCTTTTGCTCAAATGCACATGTTGATAAGCGCAACTGCTGATTATTTGCCATGTTCACTGTACGGATTGTGTCCTTTTCTAGACCTCTGTGATTAGAGACAGTTGGCCCACTTTTCCAAGTCTTTCGGACCAAAACCGACATTTCTTCTTCTGTTTGCAGTGAAGGAATTTCTTGCCAAAGCCAAAGAAGATTTCCTGAAGAAATGGGAGAATCCAGCACAGGTGAGATGGTGACAGATTCCTACCTGAGCTGCTCTTTCTTTTTTAGCCGGTTGTCATAATGCTTTTTAGTGTTGTGATACTGCTTCCAAAAAAGTGTTGACATACTTCATTGCTGTAGCGGTAGTAGTACATGGAATGTTATTTTTGGCTGGGCAGTTTAATTTACGAGGGCAGTGCACCCTCTGCTGGACTTCTTTGACAAATGTAGCATGAGCTCACCTCCTAAATACTCCAAGCTAAATCCATCGAATTCAAACAAACAAGAAAAACCCTTCAAATAAAGCAGACACAATCCTCAACTACTAGATATCAACATATACTTAAATAGTTGATTATTAAGGAAATATTACTTGAAGGTTGATTTGTGTTTTTGTTCATTCTGTTCTTCTACACATTCAGCAAACTGCAGCCTTGGACCATTTTGAGCGTCAGAAGACCTTAGGAACTGGTTCCTTTGGCAGAGTGATGTTGGTTAAACACAAAGATTCAGGCCAGCATTTTGCCATGAAAATACTTGACAAACAGAAGGTACAGTACTTTTACGAGACAGCAAAGCGCGGTGAATAGAAATGTCTCGTAATTTCTCTTTAAAAAAAATAAATAAAAGATTATTGTAACACTTCTTTTAGAAGATTTACAGTACCAGAGGGTTGATATTAACATTTTTCTACTTCCACACGTTTGGAGGCTGATCTTACAGGAAATCTCTGAAATACAAAGCCTGTGTGATTCAGGATTTGCTGTTTCTCTCTTTTTTTTTTTTCTTTTTTTTTCCATCTTTGGTGAACCCATTTTGCTTCTGGTGAGATCTTGAATATGCCCCCCCCCCATTCCATTTTCTTGTAGGTAGTGAAGCTGAAGCAGATAGAACACACACTGAACGAGAAACGTATCCTGCAAGCCGTCAGCTTTCCCTTCCTGGTGCGACTGGAGCACTCTTTTAAGGTTTGCATTCAGGAGGTTCTTTTTCTTTGGACATGTCAACCTCTGTTCACCTGGCTTTTAGGGGAGTTTATTCACCTTGGTGAAAGCTTTGCTTCTGTCCCTGCAGGATAACAGTAATCTGTATATGGTGATGGAGTATGTGCCTGGTGGGGAAATGTTCTCACACTTAAGGAGGATTGGTAGATTCAGGTAAAATGGTTTACCAGTTTCTCGGCTGTGGTGTTTTTTAAAATTCTTTTTTTTTTTTTACACGCTGTTGGTGGCCTGCAGTTTCTGAGAATGTTTGTGTTTGCAGTGAACCACACGCCCGCTTCTACGCAGCCCAGATTGTACTGACCTTTGAATACCTTCATTCTCTGGATCTCATCTACCGAGACCTAAAGCCCGAGAACCTGCTCATTGACCAGCAGGGCTACATACAGGCAAGGATTTTCGACTCCTTTTCATTATTAGTAAAAATTTCTGTCCAGCTGCCCTCTTGCCGAATGTGGTCAGAGCTGTTTACACTGTCCAATCTTCAGGTAACAGATTTTGGATTTGCGAAAAGGGTGAAAGGCCGGACCTGGACGCTTTGCGGGACTCCCGAGTACCTCGCACCGGAGATCATCCTCAGTAAAGTACGTTCTGAGCCTGGGTGCTCCTAATGCCCCAGGGCAGCATGGGAGCTGTTCCCCGCCGCTGCCCCGCCTTGTAACTGCGTTATCAGAGTCTGCTTCCTGTCTGTCCCACTGCAGCGGGACAGCTTTGCTCTAAAGACAAAAGCAATGCTCTTTGTTTGTGTGTTTTCAGGGTTACAATAAAGCCGTGGACTGGTGGGCTCTCGGCGTGCTGATATACGAGATGGCTGCTGGTTATCCTCCCTTCTTTGCAGACCAGCCCATTCAGATTTATGAAAAGATTGTATCGGGGAAGGTACGTTTTCTTATTTCTTCAAAACCTACAGGTCAGTAGATGTGTTGAAATCTAATTGTTTGACCTTTTTTATAAAAGTATCTTGCACTCATCAGCCAAATAAGGTGTATTCAGGAAATAGGGTTTGCCATGGAGGTATCGGTTGATGAATAACCAGTTTGCTGCTATGCTAACAGGCTGAGTGTTGTATGTGTAAACCACACACTCTCACAAGTTGTACGGCAGACAAAAAACCTTCCAAATGACAAAAACTATCGGTGGAGGCGTGCTACATGAGGTGTAGCCCTGTTTTAGCTGGAGCCGCTTCCTTTTGCCTGCACTGCAGCCATTGTCGGGAGCCCTGCGGAGTCCATGTTATGGGAGATGAGGCTTGACTTCATTTTGTGTTGTTCTTCCGCAGGTTCGCTTCCCGTCCCACTTCAGCTCGGACCTGAAGGATCTTCTGAGAAATTTGCTGCAGGTGGACTTGACCAAGCGCTTCGGCAACCTCAGGAACGGAGTCAACGATATCAAGGGTCACAAGTGGTTTGCCACCACTGATTGGATTGCCATCTACCAGAGGAAGGTGAGGCCGGATTGGTTCTGGTAGAATTGGGTCGAGTGTGAAAAATTCTATTGTGAGTGTTGACTGTGTTCATTTCTTTAAAATACATTCTGAAAACGGAAGCAAACCTCTTGTGCCTCTTGAGCTCTTGGTGTCAAAATTGCTTTTTCTTCCTACATAGGATTCAAATAAATTCTGTAACTTCAAACTCATAGTTTTACATTGTTTTTGGCTGTTGATTGAAATATTTGAGAAGTAAAGGCAATTACTACTGTCTTTTATAATAGATGGATCAATGTAAGGACGAGCAAATGTTCAGTTAGTCACCTCAAATTTTTATATTGGAACTGATCTACCGAATGTTCAAGCTAGCATGTGGATCTATGAGTTCATTTTGTGTTGTTCTTCTGGACAGATTCCATTTGAAATCTGTCGTTCAACGGCATTAATGACTTTATTCGACCATATGTGTTCCAGGTTGAAGCTCCCTTTATTCCTAAGTGCAAAGGCCCCGGTGACACGAGCAACTTTGATGACTACGAGGAAGAGGAAATCAGAGTCTCCTTCACAGAGAAGTGTCCAAAGGAGTTTGCAGAGTTCTAGATCCGTACCCCGAGTTGAGGAGAGAAAGAGAGAGACAGAGATTTAGAAAGGTAAAGGGGATCTGAGTACAGGGGGCACTAGGGTGGACTGGTAACTTTCTTATTTGTGATGAGGAAAACAATGTAAAATCCCCCCAGATGGAAAGGTAGGCAGAGTGAAGCAAGATCTACAGAACCAGCAGTGTTGCCTTTTCTGATTGTTTCTCAACTGTTACTTGTTGGGTTTGTTTTGTTTCTTTTTTTTTTAATCCCTCTTGTGTTTATGGCAGGGACTCGACAAGAACAAGCATAGGTTGCAGCTTTTCAGCTAGAATCTTATCTTTCTGATGGCAAAATGAAACATTTTCAGTTCCTGAATTGATTTTTTTTTCTTTCCTGTGAAGGTACTGAATCCATTAGCTATTTTTTTTTTTTTTTTTTTTAATGGGTCCTCTCGAAAAGCTTCTCTAATGATTGCGGAGTGATTGTTGTATCCTGTTGGATCTCTCTCCATCTCTCCATCATGAATCTGTCCAAGCAATACCAAGTCCAACAGATGTGCCTATCATAACGCCAACTGGTTGGAAAACTGTCTGACGCGTTGGGGCAGAGTTTCGGCGCCGCCGGCCCCTGCGGCCATCTGGTTGCAAGCTCGAAAACTTCCTGCACCTGCCTTTTGTCTGCTCGATGTGGCATGATTAATTGGGTAGATGACGCACTCGGCCGCTTGTGTTCGCAGCGGCGGTGACCTCTTTGATCAGAGAAATCAGAAAATTATTGATCGCCGTAAACTTCCTCTAGGTCTCACTCCTTTTTGGGGAGGGGGGGCTGTGAGAAGTAACGCTGGGATCTGCATTTGAAGTCTGTCTTTCTCTTAGCTAAATTTATTAGAGCATTTTTAAACAAAAAAAAATCCTATTGGTGATAATTTGTCCTTTTTATGTCAATCTCTGTGCTTGTGTGTTATTTAGTGCTTAAGGGTGGGTTAATAAGCTGTGGTTGAGCAGCTGATAACATTGCAGTCACACTCCTGACTAATGTTTATTTAATTCATAGTACATTTTATACGTGTGTGTACATACATACATACATACTCTCACACACACATAAATATATATATAAATATATATATATATGTGTGTGTGTAGGTGTGTGTGTATATGAGATAGAGAAATATCCATCTTTTTGACATTGTCTCACAGCTGTGAAACTGAATTAAGATTTAATAAATAAATATATAAACTCTGCCAAACTTGCAGGCTCAGAACGCTGCAGTCGTCTCTATGTAATCATGATGGAGGTGGATTTTAAAAGGCAGAACCGTAGCAAAATGTTTCAACAACATGTGCATGTTATTTTTGTACAAACTCCCTTTTTTTTTTGAGAAAGAGGGGCAGAGCGCCGGGCTTTATCTGAGCCGAGGTCCCCGAGGCCGTGGACGTGACGGCGCGCGGACTCTCGGTGCAGAAGGGGGCGCCTAGCCGTGGTTGAACTTGATCTCCTCACCCGGACGGTCTCACCCCCTCCCCCTCCCCCCCCATGTGTGCTCTTGTGTCCCTCCCATGTAACGCCGTCATATGGATTTGCAGTGCAGGTAAAACTCACGGGGTGGGGCTTTTGGGATGGGAGTGTTTCTTTTCCCCATTTCCAGCTTTCTCCGCAACAAAATGAAACTAAGGAAGCTCTTCTGAAGCTGTCTGTCCCCCCTTTTTTGCCAAGTTTCTTTCTGTGGATGCAAGACAATCGCAGACCAAATCTTACTGCTGGTTTGTTGAGTGAACGTGTCGTTTTGGTTTGAAGGATATAAGCTGTCATCCACCCACCCTCCATCGGCCCTAGGTGCTAGACTTTGCCCATCTCACTTAAAAGCTTCTGTGAATTGTTTGATGTGCATCAATCTATTTGTCAGTCTTGTAACATGACATTTTCAGAATGTTTTTGACTAAACAATTTCAGTAGGCTTGAATAATTCTTTTGGCAGTGTCTTAATGTAAGTGAGATCAAACACAGGATACTTTTTGAATGTTTGAAATGCAGATGTTTCAATGCTGTTTAGAAACAGGATGTGTATTTTTTATAATACATGTTTCTTTTGTGAGCTGTTTTTTTTGTTTTGTTTTGTTTTGTTTCCTTGCATGTGATGAAGCAGGCCAATGGTGAGATTTTCTCCAGACCTGAGACACGTTAAGAAGTCATTGTTTCTGTTGCTAGCGGTCTCATTGCTGTTCCGCCATCTGATGGATCACCGAGCATCTTTTCTGATAATAATGAAGCACATGCCACACCTTTTCAAATCTCCTATTTAAATCCATTTGTGCTATTTCTAAAACCTTTTGAATAGATTATTTTGGAGAGAGCACATATAATATATTTTCCTTTTTGTCCTGAAAATGACAGAACGAGGGCAGAGGGCATCTCCACTTTAGATGCTATAACCATGACACTGTTCTTTGTTTTCTTTTTGTTTTCTTCTCCGTCTCAAACAAGACCTTTGTTGGACATCTAATTCTCATCTGTCAGCTGGACAGAACCACTATCAACTGCTCTGTGCTACATTAATTTTGTTTCCGGTTTGCCTTCTATTTTCATCAGGTTTCCACTCACTTTATTCAAACATTAACACTTTCTACATCTTGAGATGTTTTTCGTTCATATTTTCTAATTGTATTTTCAAAAAAAAAAGAGAAAAAAAGAGCAAAAACAGAACATTAATCTTTTTTTCCTCATGACCTGGGTACAGTGCTTGTGTAGTCTATTGTACCTTTTGGGAAACAATACTGTATATCCTTGCCTTTGACAGTCTTAACTATCTTACCCTCTGGAGAACTTGACAGATACCCTTAGAACACAATGAGTATGTTAAAAAAAATATAAACAAAGTAATATTTTGCAAAATGTATCATTCCAATAAAGTTTTACTTGTTAAGACTAATATGTCTGGGTTATATTTGATTTTTCATCAAAAGTTTGAGCATGTTCTGGTTTGTACTTTGTGTTTTTATTTGAATTCTAGTCCTCCAAATGGCACGCATCAAAAACACTTGCAGGCACTTTTTAGGTGGCATTTACTTTATGGATGGAAGAGGTGGAATATTATCTGTCAAACTGCCCTGGCTGCAGCAGAGACTGGCTGCTCAGCGTTTGTGTCCCACCAGGTGAGCTGCAGGAGGCAGGCGGAAAACACTGGGAGGCTGTTTGGGACTCCTCAAATGCACAAAACAACCAACGTAAATGTGTCTGTACTCCCAATTAAAAAATAGTTCCAGCTGACAGTTGTTACTGGAAACGGAAAGCTCAGTCGCTCTCCCATCACGATTTAATGGCACGATTGTGCTGTCAGTGCATTATTTCAGTCACCTAAAATAAGAACAGCAAGAAGCTGAGTGTGTTTACTAAACTATTTGGCTGTGTGGGCACTACCACAGCACAGACTGCCCAAAGCTTCTGTGTCCTGAAAGCAAATCCACTACAGACTTAAGCTAAAACATCTGGAATGAACCTCATCAACCCACACTTTTAATGCCTATGAGAATGTGAGAGCTGATGTTTAAAAAAAAAAAACAACTAAAAAAGCCTGAACTCAACTGACTTCGAAGGAATGCAGGCCCATACATCTGTTACCCCAAGCTGCCAGAGCCACAATTTCCAGTTGTTTAAGGATGAAAACCAATCCATAGCATTATTTCATTTGAGTGTTTTGAACTAATTTCACTTTTAAAAAATACACAACGTTTTCAAGTTAAAAAAAAAAAAAAAAAAAAAAATGGGGTTTTTCTAATATATATATATATATATATATATATATATATATATACACAAACACGAGAGACACACGAGTAGAATGAGAATCTGGATTAGAAAAATCGTTAAGTACATCATTCTTGATCTATGCGGCTTTCAGCTCGTAAAGCCACCGGATAAGAATTCAAATTTGAGCTAAAAACCACACCGTTTTTCTGTCCATGTCAACTTTGAAGACAAAAGCCTCCTTTCTTACGCACTACGGTGCGGACGGGGCGGGCGCGGGCGCTCGTTCCCGTACAGGACTGCCGATTCCACCTTAAAAACTCCTCTCGAGTGAAACTTTTGCTCGCAACCGGGCCGGTCCACCTTAAGCGCACACGCAAACGCAGGAGGCGCAGCGCGAGAGGTTTCCGCTTCTCGCTGGGGCTCGGACCGCGGCTCACCCAAACCGCCGTGTGTAACGCTGGAGGTTGACGCACCGAGGTCCCAAAAAAACAGGCAAAAAAAAAAGCCAAACGCGCGAGCGGAGAGGGGGAGGAAAAAAAAAAAAAAAAAGATGTCTGAACCCAAGTACCGCGAGTGGATTCTGGACACTATCGACTCGCTGCGGTCTCGCAAAGCCCGGCCGGACTTGGAGAGAATTTGCCGAATGGTCCGGAGGCGGCACGGGTCCGAGCCCGACCGAACGTGCGCGGAACTGGAGAAACTGATCCAGGAGCAGACCGTGCTCAAAGTTAACTACAAGGGCTCCATTTCGTACCGAAACGCCGCCAAGGTGCAGCGGAGGAGCAGGAAAAAGGACGAGCTCTCGTTAGCGACGGCGGCGGCCAGGAGGAGCGCGGTGGAAGAAGCCAGCCACTCCGACCTGAGCAACGGGGACAGCGCCTTCGGAGCCGTGGACCAGGACGACGAGGACCTGGAGGTATCCGCCG